GGGCCCAGCCTCCGCCGTGACCCTCCACCCCCCCGCAGTCCCCACATATTTACAACTGGATTTTAAAAAACTAGAGGAGTTACATGCAACATTTGGCATCTTCAAGTTCCCACACCCGAGTCTTAATTGGTGTCCGTTTTTTTGTTGTTTTTTTTTTAGAAAAATATCAAACTTTGTCTTTTTTTTTTTTTCCCCGTCTTCGTGCCTTTAAGCTTCGGATTGTAACAGAGAGACAGAGAGAGGCGAGAGTGGCGGAGTGGCCGCGGATGCCGGTGTGTGGTGTTAGTAAAAGAACAGCCTTCAAATCTGACATGTCGTCTTTGTAAAGTGTCTCGTCATTGATTTACTGTAAGTGCAAACAGCTGCAAGTATTCAAAGATTAAAACAAACAAAAAGCTGACAGGGCTTTGCTTTTTTATGTTACTTCTGTGTGTGTGTTTCTGTGTGTTGTGTGTGTGTGTGTCTGTGTTGGCAATTTACTGGCTACATTGCTGCCCCTTTAACTGAAAAAAAAAAACATCCTGCAGAGTCAAGCACACATGAGATTTACTCATGAGCAGTTCTCTAGAGGTAGCTGTTAAATGACCTTTAACATCGAGGGAATCAGGAGGTTCAGTAGGATCTTAAAAGAGCCTTAAATGGTATTTGATGCGAAGAGCTCAGCTCAAACAATTCATTCATACTTTATTTGAGGGAAAGTTAAATCCCTAAAGAGTGGTGATCACAACTGATTTTCCCATAAGCCTCCTTGTAATACTTATGTGTTAACTGAAGACAGCCCCAGAATAAGCCGCATTCTTCTAGAAGTTAAGTGTGTCTGCATATCAGCTTGTTGTGTAATTGTGTGGAGGGGAGGATCGAGAAAGTCTTCTGGGAAAGTTACCCCCATAGTGATGTTTGGCTTTCTCCCTCTCTCTGCGGCTCCAAAAAAAAAAAAAAAAGGGGGGGGGGGGACACACCCCAGCATGTAGTCTATTGAGTTGGGGAAGGAGACAGCAGCTCAGGGTTGAAGCGAGGGGCTTCAAGGTACACAGGGACAGGAGTTGCTGTCTTTGCATCATAGCAGGACGCAGCAGCGGCAAAACCTCTGACGGCTGCCCCCAACGGAGGGCGGAGGAGTGACGGGGGCAAAGTATGCGTGCACTTTGATGTTAGGCAGATGAGTCTGAGGGGAAAAAGAGACAACAGGTAGAAATGTGTTAATGACACAATCATTTATGGAAAGCCACTAAGAGTAATCGACAGATTCTTAAATGCAGCTTACTAGCACCGATTTCCTGCTTACAGGTGTGAGAGCTACTTATGACAAAAGCAGCTTGATCTGAACTAAATGTTCAGGAGACACTCTGTTTTAACAGCCTAGTTTTGATTCATCCATTCAAGTGGGTGGTGCGGTGACTCATCAGAATTCATTTTGGACAAAATGTATGAATCTTTGTCATCTGCCTGCTGCCCAGGCATTATGCTGAGTGCTGTCAGAGGTGGTGAGAAGCTGCGGCGCTAAAGGCAGCGGTTAACTCTTAAAAGATCACAGCGAGCAATGCGCACCTGATGGCTACAAGATGTGTGAGGTGATGCTGATGATCCCTGTGGAGTTTTAGAAACTCACGGTGGAAAAATGACAGCAACATTTACACAAATGTAAATTTCTAAAAAAATTGGTCAAATGAGCATTGCAGATGTTTATTTAAATTACAATTTTTCAAAACCAGGTTTAACACGTTGCATCCACCCTTAAATACCATTCATGATAAAAAGCAGGACAGAACATCAAGTGTTCATGTATGGTTTATAAAAAAAGGGAAAGACTTTGACTTGAGAGACCCTTTCATTGTTAAACGTTCACTCTACATAAATAAATGGTACTGCATAATCTAAAATCTGATCAAATAACCCAAAACAAACACCAGCTATTTGACAGTGTTTAGTTTTGTGATCATCACACAACGGCACAAACGGTTATAATACTATAAACTCAACATATGCCAACAGGCATCTGCTGTCTGCAGACCATTCTGCATATGAATCAGCACTTACTCACGACTGTTAGCAAACACAACTCACCCTAAGTCTCTTTATGCCTGCGCGGGTGATCTGCTGGCAGTCGTAGAGCTCGATGCGGTCCAGACTATGGCAGCTCTTTAGGTGCTCCAGCGAGGCGTCTGTGATAAGGGGGCAGTTGTCCAGCTCGATCACTTCCAGACAGTCGTGAGCACAAGGTCCACTGCCGAGGTGTCTGATGCCATCATCAGTGATCAGCTCGCAGTGAGATAGACTCTACAGGGACACAGTGGTACCGACACAGAGCCTCAGCTGTTAGGGGCCACGGTGCTTTCCAATTACATGGGAGAAAAACTGTCTGACCCCAGAAAGGGGGACGCGGCACTCACCAGGACTTGCAAGCGAGGGCAGTGAATAGACAGCTGGATCAGAGTTCCATCTGTGATCTGAGTAAAATGAAAAAGAACAAGCCGGGGACACATTTATCCAACCCTGTAAGTAGCCGACCTGGCCACGGATAAGATGACTAAAATGGAGGCATGGATGGATTTATACCTGCACACATTCTTCTAAATCCATCTTCTCAAGTTCGTGACAATTCTGTAGAAAAAGCACAGACAGAAATGAGCTTTCAGCTTTTTGATGCAGAAGCAGTCAACTAAAAGGCCAAGAAGACATTTACCCTCGCTAATGTAGTGAAGCCCACATCTGTTAGCTGAGAGCAGCGAGCCACTTCCAATATTCTGAAAGCAGACACGCAAAAGATGTGACTCTGGCTTTTACGACATCAGACTTCCAGTCAATGAAAACGCAAGCTGCACTCCATAAATGGCCTGATTCTACTTTGCAGGTTCCTGGTCTGTAAGTAAAGTGACGACGAGGTCGGGTGTGTAGGTGTGTGAATTCACCTGAGGCGGGGGCAGTTTTGTCCCAAGGCATGCAAGATGGCGTCTGTGATGTTGGCACAACCCGACACACACAGAGACTGCAGGCGGTGACAACCCCGACAAATTGTGATGAGGCCCTCATCTGTGATCTGCTGCTCATAAAAACAGAGAAACGCACGTGTTTGTGTGTGATGATGGATGGAGTGGTTCGCTCAAGTCTGCATCCACTGTGAAAACATGCCATGCAACTCCTCTCCCCGGTGGTGTGCACTCTGCTCCGTATGCATAAAACACAACCAATGCATATAACTTTACATACATTAGTAAACTATCTCATCTTATCAAACCAGTTTCCTGTCCGCTGTGTTTGTCTGATAGAAGTATGGTTTAAGAGAACACTGAAGAACAGAAATGGAGGTGGGAATGAACTAAGAAAAAATAAAAAGACAAAAACTTACAATGAGGAGAAACACTTTAAATAGATACAAATAAATCATACAAATATATGAGACAGATATACGAGACGAGGGGGAATAAATCTGCTGTTAGCTGTGCAGGTAATACAGGTCCTGGCATTCAAATCTGATAAAAATGTTTTGGGACACTGAGGAATAGAGTTTTAAGTCTCTTCTCCCATCATTTCAGAGTCAACATTTGACTGCTTCATCCACAGCAATGACCACTATGAAAAGCTGTATACAGCATAACTGGAATATTCTCCCAAAAATTTGTCAAAAATCTGACTTCATTTGGAGTCAGAGTGGCACGCGTGCTTGGTCCGATGAGCTTTGAGTCATTGTTCCAAAACTGCAGTTAACATATTTTTCTAACCCCGTGTCTTCTGTCTTGAACGCTATACTTACTGAGCATGTCTGCAGATTTAGTGTGACCAGATCTGGACAGTGAGACCCAATGTGCTTCAACGCCTCATCCTCCAGCTGTGGAACGATTGTTACAGTGGATGTTAAAATCAAACTCATTTTCCGTCACAAGCTAGCATAAACTATTTTGTTCAAAACACCCAAGTTAGCTTCAGTAGTTACAAACACAACACTAGTATTATCCTTGAGAATAACTGAAGCGCCAGTTTGTTTATGATTAATTTATGCAGAATTTCGTGCAGTAACAGTACCTGTGTGCAGCCTTTCAGGAAAAGACCTTTGAGTCCAGGGCAGGAACGCACCAGGGCCTGGATACCATCCTTCGTGATCTGATCACACCAGGAGATATTCAGCTGCTCCAGCAAGGGGCAACCCTCACTTTAAGAATGAGGAAACAGACGAGTAAAGAGCAGAAACTTGGGAAAGACAGCCAACAATGGCAATGTAGAAAAGGAAATGTGATGATCAAACAACAGAATAAGCAACAACAAAATCCTCCACGGTTGAAAGTCCACAAATCAAATCTTAAGCATGGTTGGTGCCGGTTCAGCAAGTGTGGACTGCAGTAACGATGAGAGACACACCTGAGAGCTTTAAGTGACAGGTTTGTGATGGAAGTGCAGGAGGCGAGGTCCAGGTGCTTCAGCTTCGGACAGAACTTGCTGAGGCTATTGCACGTGCTGTGGAGGACAGAGCCCACATTTACCAGAAGAAAAAAAACACCAGACGCATAATCCGCGCTGCTCCGTGAAATGGACGCAGACCTGTCGGTGATCTTGGTGCAGCCGTTCAGACTGAGCAGCTCGATGTTTCTGCAGTTCTGGGAGAAGGTCCTGCGGAGACACCACCAGCGTCAACCAACCGGGCCTCACCGAGTCTCGGAGCTAAGACGAGACTCTCTGCCGGCCTCGGCCATGGAACCCACCTTAGGGCGCTGTCGCCCACACCGAGGCACCCCCTCAAGCTCAGCTTCCGAAGGAACCCGCCACATCGCTTTGAGATGTTCTCCACCACCCGGCCCTGCAACACCAACAATCGACTTGGCCTGCTGCGCTTGCTTCGGCAGCCCGTTTTAGGCGGACTGAGAGTGCGGTGACGTGAGAGTAAACGGGGGTTATTTAGGGTTCGCTCACTTCAATGTCCCGTTGAAAATCAAAGAGGTCGATTCGCTGCCAGTTGCTGCCATCCAGTGCCAGGACATTCCAGGACTGAAGACAGCGAAGGGAGGAACAGACGCGTAGAGTCAATTTTATTCGACGGACAAAAAGATGGCAGAGCGCACACATGCACGGCGAGCGCTGACTCACCCGGGAGACCTGGGCACAGCGGCAGAGCGTCACCACGTCCAGAAAGGAGAAGATCCTGGGAGACAGACAGGGATGGTTAAGACAATCTGATCACGGCTGCCAGAAGCTTCCTCTTAACACTAATCTGCCCCCAACTCAACCCTGCATCTGTTTTCACTCGCAGTAAAGATGCTTGTGTAAATCAGGTGATATCGTCTTTGCCTGTCAGCAGGAAAGACGTCCGCCCTGTTTGGCAAGAAAGATGCGAAGCGACTGCAGGACCCCTTCAATGCAGCAGAGAGTATTTGGGTTAAAACGGGGTTGCAGGGAGCTGCTGCAGTTTCACAAATCACGCCAATGTCCCCGGCCAGCAGCCGCAGCTGAGGCAGCTCGTCTGGAGGAGCCCGGGCTTGAGTTATAGCATCCATTTTCTGTTTGCTGAGGGGCTCACAACTTTGTTTAGTCCCCCCTTTTGTTTTGCTTTCCTATATCCTCGAATCAATCTAAATGTTTTATAGCCATGAGCAACTGTTTATAATTACACTTTTAGTACTGGGGGAGCAGCGTGGGAGGGGACTGAAGGGAAATTGCTGTCCTGGTGGTTGTGCAAGTAAATATACAGTATATCATCGTAAGACGCACAGTGTGTGCGTGGGGTGGTGTTTGAAGGTTACACAGAGGATCCATAGTGAGGCTGCAGAGTACACAGCAAACCATTTATGCACTTGAAAAAAAAAAAAGACATATGAAGAGCCCTCTACAAGATTACTGAAGGGTGCCGACACGTCACTCACCGTAGCAACAGCTCTTTGGGTAACTTCTTATTTATGACTGCCTCATCGCTATTTGTGAACATCTGAAATTGAGCAGAAAAGAACAATTACTCCAGGCTGCCCATCTTAGTGTTGCTGGGCTCCTTCCGTCCACTCGCTTCACTCAAATATGGCAGCAACACATCGAGGCTAAATGGCTGTGGACTCATTAGCTGAAATGGATTCAATGGCAATTCTTGGGAAACACGGAGGGTAACAGGAGAAAAAAAAATGCTCTGGAGACAGAGTTTTGTGTCTTCAAAGCATAAAACTCAGCAGGAGGGGCCTTTGTCCCGTCGACCACTGAGCCACAGCGACCTTTGTTCACGATATCTTTCATGACTGCATATTCTGAACCTGTTGTGTTGTTTACTCTTATAAGGTCGCACTGACGTCCACATCAGCAAGAACCAAGAGTCTAAAACTAGAGTCAGCTGCTATTTATCTTTTAAGACTCTCTGAAGTGGTTCAGCTTCTGCAAGCAGCTAATTTCCCCAACAAATAATTAGATGCTGTGCAAGCACAAATGAGAGTCTATAATGTGCAAAGAAAAGGGCTTCTGTAAACAAAGAGATAATAAATTTGCATTTATAAAAAAAAACAGATACACACACACACACAGAGGGAGGATATCATATGTGGGAACTGGTACTCTGCTGTATTGTGAAATGCCTGACAATAATGTTCGGGAGCATCCATGGATAAATCAACATCTGGCACAATCCACTTTTCCACAACAGACTTGGAAAAATAATGACTCCCCTCCTAGTTCAGACATCAGTGTACAAATAAAGAAATAAAAAAGTGTCTACAAAAGGCAAATGCTTTGACAAGATCAGCAACTTATCAGAAAAAATTACCATTTAGTTTTTTGTCAAACGCCCCCCATCCCTGAACCATAAACCAATAAAATCATGTGATCATCTTTTGCCTGAAACAAAAGAACTCATTTAGGACTCCCAGCAGAGTGCCATTGTAATTATGGGTGCTCATCCAAAACCAAACAATAGCTTGAGATTTTGAGGAACTTGCAAAGCCGCTCATCAGCACAAAAGACAAACCGACATAAAATTAATTCTTAAACCTTTGAATAGAAGTCAGCTCCGGGTTGTAGCCTTTGTGTCCGTCTGATAAACACACAAACACACACAGCTGTCTGCTAGAGGCTGCCGGCCAACACAAACATGTCAAATTTTGCAGGAGAAAGGGGGGGGCAGACATTCTACATTGGGTTTGGGGCAAATCGTCTGTGACAGCTCGCCTTTCGCCTTCTTTCTGGCCAAATGATCAACGGTGGTTTTTAAATAGATACGTGTGCATGTGCAACAAGCGTTCTCCATCCTCTTTTGTGATCCAACATAAGACAAACCTGATGCCCCCTGAAAATGAGCATTATGTTTTCTCCACTGGTCAGCTGTAATCAGTGCTGTAAGCCTGGGAGGAGGTTAAAAAAACCCTGAGCTGTGTGCCACAAGACAGCAAACCAAAATGTGATTAAAAAGTGAATGTTGCAACAGACCCATGAACAGACCCCATATTTAGCTCTTCATCACCTGAAAGGGATAAATTGTCAAAACATTGCAAACCGAAAGACCAGAGCAGACTGTACAGATACTGAGATCAAGTTTTAATCTTCATTTCAGTCATACAAGAGCTTTGACTGAAGACAGTCCATCTATTCTTAGTCTAATGACGACTTCCTCTGGGAGTGTATGGACAAAAGATGCATGGATACACTGAAAAAAGCACTGTGTTCCGATCAATACAGATGCTAAATGTCTTAATGTAAGTTAATGGGTCACTTAATCTACAATTAAGATAAAAGTTTTGAAATACCAACAAATGTTAAACCAACACTTTGATTGTTGATGCTACAAACACGTTTTTTTGCCTTTCAAATGCCACAGGAATGTCACTCAGCTTCACAGTAAACTGACACGTTAATCTGTTAGTGATAAGCAAGTTAAAGCTCCAATGTAAAAACTGTTACAGGAAAAAGTTCTAAACCGACTAAAAAAGAAGGGAAGTTAGCATATTCTGGAGATTGTGGGAGAGATTAAAAGAAAAAAAATTCAATTCACGTGCAAACATGAAAAACGTTTGCACAATACAAGATAATGGACACACAAGATTACAACAAGATTCCATCAGCTGAGTGAGACTACATCCTGAGCCGTTTGCAAGTTAGAAGCAGCAAAGGCTCAAGATTCTATGGTTAAAAAAAGTTAATAAACTGTTAGTGAGGTTCTGTAATGTTTTTTTACCTGTAATTTCTTGTATATTGAATGAAACATCCACAACACACAAATATTTTAAAAAATTCTGTCCGGAATTAATTTTAGTTAAAGAATAGTGTTTCTGGATTTGTTTGCATCTTGTAACATATTCTTACTTAGTGTGCCATGGCTGTGATAGAACCAGGGATTCCTCTGTTTAACTGCTTAGAACAACAACAACTTGTATTCTCTTTCTAGGTCACTGTACTGATATCTCACACAGTTAAGAGAAGCTGTCAGAGATAATTAACTTGTTAGTTTTAGACATTTCTATAACACCCGTGCATAGTATGGGCTGCCAGTTAGCACAACAGACAATTAGAAATCTGTTCACATTAATTTCTTTTTCATACATTACACCATACACTGTGGGGTAATTATCTTCCTTTGCTTTTCAGCTTGTGATCAGGGGCTTTTGTTATGGGCTCAACAGATAAGTAAACAGACACAGCAGTGAATTTCACCTCACTTCCTCTACGACCTTTCAAAGTAAAGGTTTCACTGAACATCCGCTGGGTTTGTGTGTTAGGGTTGTTTTTTTACTTCTGCTTTTGCCTTAAAAAGACATTTAAAAAAAAAATCAAATCTAAATAATATTATTATTATTTTAGTCCCAGAACAGTTTGTACGTTTAATGTTGATTGACAACACAAAGCTTATCTAAATAAGAAATGAGCTAATCATATATAAAAACCAATTATGTTGGTCACATTTTTCTGTAATGTCAACAAAGAGTGAGCTAGTATGAGCATGTTGATTAAGTCATCTACCAAGGGGACCTAAATCCCTCTGAAGACAAAATTCAATTGACTAATAATTACATCTGGACAGGCTTCAGATATCTTAACCTTCAGTGTGTAGAGCAAACAAGACAGAGGCAACCATCAGACCATTATGGATTCTTAGCAACGACATGGTTTTTTAATAACTTTGAATTTAAGCCTGTCTATTATTGGAATAGACAGACAGAAAAGGAAGTGTTTGCTTGTAGTTGAACTCAACTCACGCTACCAGCACAGGAAACAGCTTATGCTTGAGCTGCAATATCCTGTACTAAAAAAACGCTACACTTAAAAAAAACAGCAAGAAATAAAACAAAACAAAAAAGATTCACTATACGTCTGTGTATTTTTAAGGTTTCTATTCTGAAACTTCAGGTTTTGTATCTGAACCCTAGCAATCACTGCTTCTCAGTCAGACATAGAAGCACAGTGGTGACTTATGGAGAACCCTGGCCGACAGTAGACTGAGTTTAGATGTTCCTATTATGTCAAGTATGGACATAACTGCTTTTATAGTATGCTTTTGAATTTTGTGGAACAGTCAAAAAGAGTAAACAATCATTTAAAAAAATTCTCGCAAAAAAATAATAACTTCACTAATGTAACATTGTGAGTATGAGGCAAGGGGAATTGACCATAAACTTCTATACAACCCATTCCCTGTTTTTACCTACCCACCCTGGTTCCATTATTCTGATCCAAGGTTCCTTCTTGTTAAGAAGGGAAATCATTTCCTCTCCTCTCCATTGCCACCCTGTGCACACTCAAAAAGGGCAAGCTACAAGAAAATCTGTTGATTTTCAACACTAATCTGCTTAAATTAGGCATCAAGTGTGCAGCAGTGAGAGTTGTTGCGATTTTGCTTGAATTAACTCAACTGCTCATGAGAATATTTTGGCACGGTACTGCTTTGGCTTACTTCCACGTCTATCCGACGGTGATGCCCGGTGAAGGGTGCAGATTCGACCCCAAAACAGCCTCACCCAGTTCCCAACAAAATACTTTAATTGTGAAGCCCCAACCGGGCCACTTCCGGTTTCCCTCCTGACACAAATCCAGTTAGCTCAGACAGCGCCGCCGCAGCTGTCGAGCCAGAAGGTAACGGCCTGAGTCTTCTGAGTCGTCAGCTGTTGCACCGTTAAAAATAAATAAAACCACGCACAAATCCCATGCTAGCAGGGGATTAAACCACATCAAGCGCTCAGGCTACACGGGCCAATGTCACCGGCTGGATACGTGACATTAGCACACAAGATTTCCCCCCCATACATGAAGCTACGCGTACGTGGCTACGAAACAAAAGTTTTCGGTTATACTTCCGATAGACAACATCGCAGCTCGTGCCTCTACGCGAGTTGGCTTTCCGGCTATGGACATTTCGTGGTGTTGTGGTTTTTACGCTGTGGCAGTTTTTTGGGGGGCTAGTTGCTAATATTTGTGTGTTGTGCCGGGTGCAGGTAGCAGTCCCAAACAGGCCCCCACCGCCGCAGCGGCCACAAACACACAAACACCAGCTCCAGCCTGACAAAAGCCGCATTGAAACGACGAACCAGCCAAACGGGACTTTTAATAAACCCAACAGAGCCCTACAGTGAAGGGGACCGTTCCCCCATTTCCTGACACCGTCTGTGTTAACGCTTTCTTCGGCGTGCTCTGTGGCCTCGTTGCCTTTGTTTTGACGGCAGCAGAGAAAGCGAGACAACCTTTCAGCACCATAACAAAAAAGCCCACAAATTAGCTCAGAGCCGGACATTACGCTAAATGGAAAACGTCGACCCGTGTCCTCAACGAAAATGACATGCCAGGCCTCGGCTGCCCGTTGTCCGAACAAAACAACAGTTTAATCCCAAACACCGACTGCGGAAGCTGCATCAACAGCCTCGCCGCGAGCGCAGTTTTTGCAATTATTTCAGAGACATTTGCGGTGCAGAACTGTACGCTAACGTTTTCCACAGACATTCTGCGTGTGTGGATACGACTGTCAGTCACTATACACGGTTAACTCACCTCAAACCTGCTCCGCGAAACACCATTTACCTCCTTCCCCATGTCGGACGCTGGTTACCGACTCAATGGATTCGGTGTAGGCGCAGTGAAATGCAGAAACGGGCCCTCTCCTCGATTATCATGTCCTCTCGGTAGCTCTCGGGGTGCGATGTCGTTGTTTTACGACCTGTAACAAAAACGACAAGACCTCTTGTTTCTGGTGAAATATGGGTTAATAGCAGCGGCTAGCCAATAAGCCACCACCTCTCCTCTATCTGCTGGTCTCCTCTCCTCCTCCCCCTGTATAGCTTTGTATCCATCCACGCAATAGCCCGACAGGAATGGGATCTGGAGGGCTAAAAGTGAGCGGCCGCTACGCCTACATCACTTGGAAATTGAAAACATAACCATGTTGTTCTGACTCATGCATTCAGCAAAAGCGTAAAACGGCTGCTTTACTCACATGCTAGCTGAAGCTGTGACCAGTGCTCGCGATGTGAGCTAAGTCCCAGCTGAGGCAAAGTGTGGGGTGTCAACCTTTTAACACGCACACGTAGCACAAATACCTGGACTGACACGGTTCTTGGTTGCAAATATAATTCCATATCTATACTATATATATATATATATATATATATAGACATACCTACATACATATATATATGTGTATATATGTGTGTGTGTATATATATATTTATATATATATGTATATATAGTGTCTTTTTATTACATTTTTTTCATTAAAAAGGCCAAGACACATTTTAAAATTTAAGACAGCCATGGCTTGCACTTGCTCTTAACTTTGCTAAAATAATAATAGAAATAGAGATATCCATGCCTTCTATCATTTGTTTAACTGACCTGAAAGAAGTGTGTGCAAAACTAATATCAACCACAGAAACTGTGTGCTTGGTCTTTGCGATAAACTAACCACTGAGACACTTAATTCTGTCTTATTTCGATATATTACAACTTTGTTATTGCAGAGGAAAAGCTACTTCCGCGTTATACTCCACCACGCCCCCTCTAAAAGCAGATCCAATCAGCATGCAGAACAGCCCTTCGTCAGGCTAGGTGATTACACTGAGGGACATGCTTGACAACAGCTCAATGTCGTCTCGGGGAACACAATAAAATTCAGCCTTTTTCTGCTTTGTAAGACACAATTGAATAGATTAAAATGTCAATGTAAGTAATAAATAACAGAAAAACTGAATTTTTTAAAAGAATAAAAAATATGGACATTTAAAGCTATTGCTGCAACTCTAGGCACCTCTCAAGATCCACTTTAGAATAAAGGAAAAGGGTTAGTCCATGAAATGTAATTAGGTTGTCATTGGTGCAAAACACGTATTTTCATGCATGAATTTTTAAACAAAGTGGACTTTGAAAGAAAACTGAAAAAAGTTGTGGGTGTTTCTATTTTCATATATGCTTGTATGTGTTTAACTTGTATGATTTATTTAAGTTGATATACTTTGATTGATAATGTTTGTTTTCAGTTGCAGACATATTTTGCATCACAGATCGGACATTTCTATTGTGCTGTCTTTCATTCAAAGTGTTGTATTGCTTCGTTGTGGTAATTTTATGCATCAGTTTTCTATTTTTTAACCTGTATCCACCTTTGAGTTGAGGTGCCTTTTATTTTGCTGTTTTTTTAAATCATGTTGGACCTTTTCCATGTGTTTGTGGAGTATAGCCTCTATGTATGTTGTATGTTTATATTGTTTATGTTTATATGTGCATTTCTGTCACGGTCAATGTAAATATTTCAATGTACCTTAATTGTAACTTTATGTTTATGTTTATGCATTTGGCAGACACCACTTATTCGCTTATCCAAAGTGACTTACAGAGTAACATATCTGATTTTTTTTTTTTGCTTTATAGCTTTAATACAGCACCAATTGTTATAATTATGTCCATGTTGACTTTTTTGTGCTACTCCGCATATGTCTTCTTCTTGACACAAACTGAAGTTGCAAGTTTGCAGTGTAAACATTTAGTGTTTCAGTAGTGGGGCTTTGTGCAAAACTTCTATTAATGTTGTGTGGATGTTTAATTTGAAAATAACATTAGAAAATCCTCAAATATTCTTAGGGAAACTGAACAACACACAAATCTTGTCACAATAATCTTCAACTCTTCATTCTCTTCCAACCCAGGGATAATAGTTTAACTCACCTTAGCTAAATTAATCTAAAACAAAAATGCAATGTTAGAGGTTTTTAAAGTAAATCACTGTAAAGATTACTATAAACAGAAAATATCGGTGCAGCATTTTCCTAAATTTTGGACTAGTGTAGTGTATATTTAATGGACACGTCAAAACCGTATGAAACTTGAAAGGTCAAACCAAATGTTGAGCAACTAGTAACATTTCAGAATTTTTTTTTGCGACGCTGTGGCGCCATCCTGCGTGCAGTGGGCGGGTTCTTCCTCCTGATTGGTAGTTCCTAAGATACACTCTGGATTGACAGGGCTCCACCTTCCGGTACATTCGCTGAACGCAGAAGTTGCTAGTCACAGGAGCCACAATGGCGTTTGTAGTCTCCTTAAGATAGGGCCGTGGATAATATTAAATCCACCAGCATCGCCCTAAATATAGGCCTGGGTGATTTCCAGAGCCATTGATAATAAACTGGAACATCTACTGCACACGAAAATACTATGATTTCTTATCAATATTGAGTTTCTAGGGGATAAAACTTACATTAAAGGGAACATGTAAACAGCACCAACCGGGTCAAGTTTTCATTTTGTTCGAGAAACGAGCGTCTTTTACTGAAGGCAGTTGCTTGTTTCTGAAAGCTAAGACCGTAATTCTGTGGAATAAAAACACCTTCAATTAACTTGGCACCGGACAAGGACAGCTTTCACAAAGGGACTTTTTTCTTTTTTACGAATCTGCTCGCTAGCTGGTGAGCATTAGCTAGCCGAGCTAGCTACGTTGAGACGGAGACGACACCACAATGCTCCAATTTGTGGTCTGGACCTTTTTCACTCACTGACAGATTCAAAGTACAAACTCTGCAACACTGGAAAACCAAAGTGTGGGTTTGTTTTCTGCTTCGACCAACCAGGCTGGCGATCTAACGAAATGAATTGGCGCTGAGGAGGATTGGACGTGAGCGGCCTTGACTGTTTATTTTGGATATTTTCTTGTCCTGATTGTGCTTAGCAACACTTGTTTCACGTTGGGAGTTTCTACAGTTTTTCCGTGAATGGACTGCCTTGATCAACGAGGCCCAGTTGCTGAAAAGGCGCCGGTGTGAGGTATGCCGGGGTCGGACCGACACCATGGGACCAAGAGGAAGCTGGATTCTAGTAGCGGTGTTTTACACCAGACCCAGGGCCCAACTCATACCTCTGCTGGAGACATGACGAGCAAAGACGGTAAGGTGCAGTTAAAATATTCAATGTCTTCAACTTCGAAACGCAAGCGGCATAAATCAACCAAACATAATCGGGAATCCACGGTGGCCCCGGGACCCAACGATTATACCCTCGGCGATACGGCGCCTCCTGGTGTCAATACGGTGAAGCCTCTGGTGGAATACGATGATATCAGCTCCGACTCGGACACTTTCTCGGACCCTCCGTCCTCAAGGCCCTCCGAGAAGGGGGGCGGGGACCGACTGGACCCCTCGCCACACTACGACAGGGACGACATCGACAGAGAAGCCGAGAGTAGAGAGAACAGGGGGCACAGACACTCCCGGAAAAAGTCGAAGGACCCCAACAAAGTTAGAGACTCCGGCAACGGCGAGCTGGGGTACAAGAAAAAGAGCAGCAAGGACCGGGAGAAAGGCATCTCCGCGAAGAGCAAGGAGAAGGCCACTTCGTTGAGCTCCTCATCCAAACGCCAGCCGCAGCCGGAGGCCGACAGCAGGCGCGGGGAGTTGATGCTGTCGCCCCAGCTGCACCCCGCAGCCAGCGTCGGGAGCACCACCTCCTCCACGTCCTCCACCCGCAGCAAGGAGAGCAGCCGCTCAGGGAAGTCCCGCAAAGACCGGCAACAGCGTCGCGAGGGCCGCGGGGAGGGGAGCCGCAGCACCTCCCAGCGGAGCCGGACCGACAAGACTCACCGCAAGTCCTCCAAGAGCCATAAGTCGAGCCCAAAGGGCAAGTCCGCGGTCAGAGGCAGCCCGCGAAGGAAGGGCACCAGCTCCGCCTTGTCCCCCAGCCCCAGGAGAGGGGCCGGCAGCGAGAGCCCTCCGGGCAGCGGCTATGGGCAGCCGGCGGCGGACGACGGCTACTCCCGGCGGAGGGTGGCCCAGCAGAGCCCCAGCCCCTACAGGGAGACGTCCCGCCGCAGCAGGCAGAGGTCGGACAGCCCGTACGGCAGCAGACACAGGTCCTCCAGCTTCGAGAGGGACAGCAGCCCCTATTCCCGGAGGCGCTCCATCAGCCCCTACGGGACTCGCAGGTCCTCCAGCACCAGCCCCATGTCCCGGTGAGTATGCCCCCCCCCCTCCGGGCTCCACGTGCTAAGAGTTAGGAAAACAGTTGTAGCTACGTTGCTAACATGCTGGTCGAGTTAGTGTTGAAGGACAGCGGCCATGGACATTAATCTTAGCAAAAGGCAACCAGTTAGTGAGTCAGTCTTTAATATTTTAATATATATTTAATTTTAAATGACTTTAATCATGCTTCACCTGCATAGTGAGTAACAGGTAGAGCTGTTGAATGTCTGACAGTTAAAATAACGTAGATCTTGATGATGAACAAGTTTGGATGCAAAACTGAGGTTTGTTTCTGTGTGGAGGTAAGGAGTCAATCCAAACTTTTTCCATTGTCTCATGGAACTGTTAGACACGTGTGCAAGGTGTTAAATGACATTTACTTAATCAGGAAAATTCTACATTCCCTGGTTGTTGTTTTTTACCACCTTACAGAAGGCGCTTAGCTAAATTATGCTTACCCTTTCAGAACTTGTAATTGTGAATAAGGTAGTACATTGGAAAATTGAGACAAAAACTTTGACCTGAAGTTTCTGAACTTTTGAATCCTTGATTATTTTCCACATTTATGGCATCACATAATTTGTGTCCATGGTATGATCAAGAATCAGTTGTAGGACCTACTGTTTATGTGTGTGTTGCTTTGTTTGACGTTCTTTAAAACGTTCTCTTCTATGCAGGCGTTCGGGCCGCTCCAGAAGTCGCACCCCTCTGCACTACTCTTCATCTTGCCGGTCCTCTTCTCGATCCCGTAGTAAGAGGCATACCTCCTCTAGTGGTGCGGGGGGGAGTTCCCACAGCGCTCGGCCAGCTAGCCGCTCCCCTCCCTCCCGGCTGCCCCTCAACTCCAGCCTGGGCGCAGAGCTCAGTCGCAGGAAGAAGGAGCGGCAGGCTGCCGAGGCGGCCGCTCGAGCCAATGCCACCGGCGGAGCATCCCCTCTTCCAGCCGCTCGCAAAGGGGCGAGCGCCACGTCCTCGCGGCCGGCTAAAGCCGAGGCCCCACCGCTGGAAAAAGACTCCACAGCAGCTGTAGAAACTCAGCCTCCCACAGCTGCACAGCTTCTCCCCGAAGCGCCCAACGCTGAAGATCAAGTTAGAGCACCTCCGCCTTCATGCTCTTCCACCTCGCCTGCACCACCCCCCCCTGAGCCCTCCCCCCCAGGGGCAGCCAACCCAGCCATGCAGATGCCACCGCTGCCTCCTCCTCAGGCAGAAGCAACCACTCAGCCTTCAGCTCATCCCACTTCCCAGGCCAGATCGCCAGCTCTGCTCCCGGTGCGCAGCCCCGTCCGCCAGACGCCACTCCACAAGACATCCACTCTGCCCCCCCTGCCTTTACCTCCCGCACTGCTGGGAAATGCTCAGGACAGGTGAGCAGCCCCTCAGCACAGAACCTTACTGCGTCCTCATCACACTTAAAAGGCCTCATGTTAGACGTTAAAACCTTTTTATGCCTAAATACTGTCAGGTCATCAGCACATTTCTGTGTGAAAGCAGTTTAGCTAATTCAATTTCTAGTTCAAACACTCAAGACAAAGACGGTAAAAGATTTTCTTGGGACACCCGTCCCACTGTGTGTACTGAGTGAGGCATCACTACTTTTTAGAAATGATTAACTTTTAATTAGTTATGAATTACAGGATTACTGCTTTTAAAACTCAGTCGGCTGCAGTTTTTGGTTACTTACTGATAATTAGGATGAACTGGAAGTGATATTTTAATGTTCTGTGTGTCTTAATTGTACCTATGAACTAAAACACTGATCATTGGAGTTGGACTTCTTCATAACTCTGTAGGTGATCTCTGCTTTTCTCCTGAATCATGAACACTTGTGTGAACTCATTTGGTTTGTTCTGCCAGTCCAAAGAAGTCCACCCCTCCTCAGAGGCCATCAACCAAGGAGAAAAAAGGCTGTAACCGGCCCTCTCTCATCGACCTTCCCCTCCCACCCACCCTCCCTGGAGCCGACTCCTCGCCCCCGCAGTCCCCAGTTCGCCAGCCTCCCCCGATGACTCAACCAACCCTAAAGAAGAGACCAAAGTCAGTCTTGTGTTTCACACCCATCCATTTAAATTTTTTTCCACAAACGTCTTGGTCTAACCTTGGTTTTCTCATTCACGCTTTGTAGGATTTGTTGCCCACGCTACGGCGAGCGCAAACATAACCTGAGTGACTGGGGCAAACGCTGTGTCGACAAGTTCGACATAATCGGCATCATAGGGGAAGGCACCTACGGCCAGGTGTACAAGGCCAAGGACAAAGACACCGGTAAGCTTCAAGTGTTTTCAGCCCAGCCGCTGCGCTATTGTTGATGGAGCTTGCGCTCTAAATTCTGCGTCTTCTCCATCCTTTCCAGGTGAACTGGTTGCCTTGAAAAAAGTGCGTTTAGACAATGAAAAGGAGGGTTTCCCCATCACAGCCATCAGAGAGATCAAGATCTTACGGCAGTTAAAGCACCGCAGCGTGGTCAACATGAAGGAGATTGTCACCGACAAGCAGGATGCGCTTGACTTTAAAAAGGACAAAGGTAAGAGAGTTGTGAACTCATTCCCCAGAACATCAGTTTATTCCCTCAGGAATGCACCAATGATTTAAAGGTGGTTTCATCAGAGGCGTGAGCACAAATCTGAGGCCCAAAGGCCACTGAGAAGGTCTGAAAAGAACGGAGTGCAGGCTGGAGGAAACAGTCTGCCGTCATAATACTTTAAGATAAATGGATTTTAAGAAAAGTGGGAGAAAAATGGAGATCTGAGCGTTTAAGCCAGAAGGTGCCATTTATGAAAATGGCCAGTTTTTAGTGAACATTATTACTCACTGAGCCCATTGAAACTAACATTAAAACCAAGTTGCTGATTTTGCCCAGTAAGAAGAGCAGAAGCAGAACCAAAGTGGTAGAATTGTTATTTGGGCAACAAGATTTTATGGACTAAGAAATGGAAGTTTATTAAAGATGTTATTTATCATTGTGGTTCTGTGTTCATAAGACCTGTTAATAGAGTAGATCATGGTGTATGACGGCCTCGGCCATAAATGCGTCCATAAATCGGCTGATCGGGTATGTTGTAGAAACAGAACATGGACAGAACTATTTATACCTGCGTGTCCTTAATCCGTAGTTTTGACTGATGTGTTTGTGTTATTGAATTTCCTGCTTTTACACACACAGTTGAACAGAAATTTTGTAAATAAATGTGAGTCAGAATGAAAGTTTAGAAAAAATCTAAATTCAATACAAAATGTGAAGGAGATTTTCTTTATTTAATCTAGTAAACAATGCAAAAAAGGAATAAAAACACAAACATGGGACTGATAAATGTGCACTTGGTTTGACTGCATGAGAGGTTGATGTAGTCACAGTAACAATTTAGACAGTTTCCATCTTTTTTTTTTAAAGGGGAAACCCTCTTATCTTATTCGTTCTTGCAAACCTCCAGACTTTTCTCCATAGCCTTTTTTTTCCTTCTGTTTTAGGCGCTTTTTACTTGGTGTTTGAATACATGGACCACGACCTGATGGGCCTGCTCGAGTCGGGCCTGGTCCAGTTCTCCCATGAGCACGTCCGGAGCTTCATGCGCCAGCTGATGGAGGGTCTGGACTACTGCCATAAGAACAACTTCCTGCACAGGGACATCAAATGCTCCAACATACTGCTAAACAACAGGTAAGGAGTAGGCTCAGAACCAGAAACCCTCTGGAGTTAAACACACGAGAAGAAAAACCTTCATGTTGTGTTGCAACATGTTTAGCTTTGATTACAGCAAACATTCCTGATATCACTCCACTGAGCTAATGCCCCGTCAGACCACTTATATCTCTCTCGATTTGGATGAATTTTTTTGTGGGGAAATAATGATAAAGCGTTTTTACTTTTGTCTGATCATTATCTGCCTGGAAAGGCTCTGACATTCACTGTTGAGGAATCTGTTGATTTTGAACATTTAATGACCTCCAGTAAGGATCATTCAAGTCTTCAGACGTTTTCAGAAACCCATTTGGTTATTTTGTTTGCTGGAAGAACACCGGTTATCCTACCCCCCAGAAACAGACCTTTAGTCTGCACAGGAAGTGCATTTAAAGAATGTGTTTAAAGGAATGAGGTGATGTCAACTGGATCGGTTGTGGCTGAAGCCAGTGAATCACTGCTTTGCTTTAAGTAAACTGGCTCTCCCAGAGGTTCAGCATACAGATGTGCGGCCATTCTGCCGCTACCACAGGAGATGTGAACAAACTGAACTCAACTAGTGAGTTCACCCCTCAGTCCAGTTAGATTATGAGTCCAGGGGTGATTGTGAAATAATTCTCTTTGCAACTTCTGGTTTATTGTTTTCCACCCAGGACTTCTTTTTTCTTCTTCTCTCTTTTACACTGTTAGGAGTTTTTACTTTTGACACGTTTTTTTGGAACTACACGATTAAAAAGTAGCAGAATTCAAGCAAACATCATCCTAGTACGAGTAATGAGCTTCACGATGAAACATCTTCCTCCAACATTTGTTATTTGATGAAGTTAGAACTCTGGCAGGCCAGGTACAAATACTGAGGTTCACTCGTTGAATTTAACGTTTGTATTTCAAAACTGGTTTGGGGACAAATAGGTCCCTGCCATCATTTGCATGCATGTCCCTAAGCTGTCACACGACTCCTAGAGGGTGTTGGACTTTTGCAAGAATGCAGACACACCATGACATTTTAAGCCCTTTTTGGAACATGCAACAATGCCACACAGCGATTATGTACCTCTAATTACCAGTAAGAAAGTTTCTGTTTCTTTTGCAGAGGTCAGATCAAACTGGCCGACTTTGGTTTGGCTCGACTTTACAATTCAGAGGAGAGGTAAGAAGATTTTGTTTTGCAACATAATATTCCCACACCTAATCTTCTAGAGTCTGTCTTTAGTTTTGAGATGTAGTGTTATTCTGTAAGTTTAAGCTTAAATGATAATTGAATGTTCAAACATAATAATAAGCCTCTTATTTTCTAATTCAGCAACCCTCCAGTAGGTGGAGCTGTTTCTCACTAACTTCCCTCTGACTTAAAGCTTAAATGTTTGTTTGGACTCGGAGGTGGAGATGCTGTATGACTCAGTGTTGTGCTCGTACTTTTTCCTTTTCACCAGTCGGCCATACACCAACAAAGTAATCACACTGTGGTACCGCCCCCCTGAACTTCTCCTGGGGGAGGAGAGGTATTCCCCAGCCATTGACGTTTGGAGTTGTGGGTGAGTCTAAAACTGTCAGCGATACACATTTTCTCTGTTAGTCAGCCAAAAAAAGATTTTTTGTCTTGTTTTCTAAAGTTGACCCATCATGATGAAGGGTTCATATGTTTTTATTTGGTCATTTTAAGTAATACTGAAAGTTTTTTTCCCTACTGCTTCTGACTGTTTAAAATTTTACAATGAAAATAGAAAATTTGCAGAGCATAGCTTTTATTACCAATTTTTTTTTTCCTTTTAACTTTCAAACGGCCCTGATATTTAGTTTTTTGTATTCTGTAGCTGCGATTACATCCAGAGAGGCTCAATTATCTGTCGGCTTTCACGTTTCAGGTGCATTCTTGGAGAACTCTTCACCAAGAAGCCCATTTTCCAAGCAAACCAGGAGCTTCTCCAGCTCGAGCTTATCAGGCAAGCTGCTTTTTCCAAACACAAATTAGATGGTTGCTAAATGCTTTTGAGTCTTGAGGAATGGGCTCCTCAGCTGCTGGTGGTGCAGGTGGGTAAAGGGTGCTCTGCGCTGTCCTTTCTTCCAGCCGTCTGTGTGGGAGTCCCTGTCCAGCCGCGTGGCCGGATGTCATTAAGCTTCCTCTCTTCAACACCATGAAACCCAAGAAGCAGTACAGGCGGCGTCTTCGAGAGGAGTTTGCCTTGTACGTACTGATGCAGCGTTTCCCCCCCCCCCGATGGAGCCGTGATCCCGCTTCTTTGTCCGCTGGCGGAGGTAAAACCTCTCCTCCTCTGTGCAGCCTGCCCTCTCCCGCGCTGGACCTGCTGGACCGAATGCTGACCCTGGACCCCGCGCGGCGCTGCACCTCGGAGCAGGCTCTCTTCAGCGACTTCCTGTGCGACATAGAGCCCAGCAAGATGCCCCCCCCAGAGTGAGTAGCCAGATGCGAGTCGGCCTCATGAATGCCGCTGCCGCGTGTAGTCCGCGAATGCTGACCACTGTCTTTCCACGCGCAGTCTCCCCCACCATCAGGACTGCCACGAGCTGTGGAGTAAAAAGAGAAGGCGCGCCCGTCAGAGCGGGCAGCCCGAGGATGTGCCTGGTTCCAAAGTGCCCCGCAAAGATGCCACCGGGACGTCGAGCAGAGAGAACAGTCGACCCCAGAACAGCCCGGCCGGAGCCCCCCCGCCCCCACCTGGAAAACCGCCCTCCACCGCCACCCTAGAGAGCGAGTTGCCAGGTAATGGATAGTCCTCAAGTATTTCTGCCTGAACTAAACTCTTTGGTGGATATTTTGCTTTACAGTACAACTTAGGTTAATGATGAAAGCTCACATTAGGAATGGTGTTCATTTTCTTTCATTGTTACTGAGAAATGAAGTCTTTCCCATTGAGTTTTCCTTGTTTCTCGCCTTGTTGCTGGTGTGTGTTTAGGCCTGGGAGCAGCAGCAGAGCAGCTGAATCAAACCGAGCTGGCTGTGCTGCTGAACCTCCTCCAGGGACAGACGGACCTCAGCCTCCCGCAGGTGGCCCAGGTCCTTAACCTCTCCAATCCAGAGACTCTCAGCCAGTTGTTGTCCACCCTGAGCGAGGCCTCTGACCACCAGGGGGCGCCAGAGGACCAGGCCCAGCCCGCCGCCCCGTCCCAGCCTCCTGAGCCGCCTCCCGAACCCCAGGAGCCCTCACCCACATCTGGAGACCCGCAGCTCAGCCAAGAAGACCAGACCAGTCTGCTGGCTCTCATTTTGGGGCAGATCATTAAACCCCAAACAGAGGAGCAGGGCGATGAGAGCAACGGCGTTCATTCAGAAGATGCCCGTTCATCCACTTCTACTACTGATTGCAAGGGCAAGTCTGGGTTTAGTATCTAGAGGGTGAAGACGAAGGACACCAGGGTCAACTGGAAGTCATAAGAATGTGGAGAGCAGAGCAAAGCTGGTGGAGTTTTAGTTCCTGAGATTCTTATAAACTCTATCAAATTAATTAGATGTTAGACTATCTGATAAAAAATCTACAATGCAAATGACTAATAATCCAAATGAATGAGGCTAATAGATCTGTCCTACATTAGTCCATCCTCTATCCCTGATATATATATATATTCACCATCTCCCCCCTTTAGCGCCTGTTGTATTAAAAGATGTCAAAGACAAATGCAGAAAAATGTCCCCCGGCCTGGCTGTCATGTGACCCCGGTGGACAGGTAGAGGTTCGGTGCACATGGCGTCACTGGTGAGCGACTGGTGGACTTAATAAACCAGATGATAGTGCAGTGTTCTTTATTTGCGTATAAAGAGGTTCACGCTGCCCTTCGCTCTCCCCCCCCCCCCCTCGTTTCTTTCGCAGTCTTTGTTTCTGACCCATTTCCACATGCTTTTCTTCCTCGCTTCATTCTCATTTGAAAGGAGGTGTCAAGGATTCTTCAGCGAAAGAGATGTTGCTTTAAACAGTCTGTAATGTCAGCCTTTTTATGAAGAAAGTCTAATAAATTATCAAGTGAAAATAAATGTTTGAATCTTTAGATCTCACCTGCATGTGTTTCTTTTAACTTTGGTTTTCTCACGTTTTTGTTTGGTTTCCCTTGCTTTTCATTCGACTGTTCACCGTGGGCCGGGTGTGTGTGTGTGTGTGAACGCTCAGTAGCTGTGCAGCTGACACTGGGCTTCCAGTCCGGGTTCATTAACCTTTCAGCGCTGAAAGTCTCAGCCTGGGTCCGCCCCGCACAGGTACCCGCTTTGGGAGGGCAACGGAAGAAAAAGCCGCTGTTGGCCAAAAGTCTTTATCATTGATTTGTCAAATCGTGGCTCCTCTGTGCTCTCGTTCACATTTGCATGCTCGGATATCTCTTAATTTATACTTTAGCTTTACCCTCAAATTAGGATGATCCCTTTGGAGGCTGTGTGCTACATAGGTGGTATATTTCTTCATCAGCAAATGTTAATTTTTCAACGATTGGTAAACAAAAACGAGTCAGTAACTTGACAATGGTAAACAAATACTGTTATTCATTAAACTGCATGTTTTTTTTGTTTGTGATTGGCCAGAAGTAATAATTCTTAGGGTTTGAACATTGTGATGAGGAATTTCAGCATGGCACTGAATAGAAAAAACAACTTGAGGCTCTTGGTGTGAGGTGCTCTCCCTCTTGTGGTGAAGGCAGGAAGTCAGCATTGTGTAACTCCCCGGCCTTCTCCTTTGTATGCTCAGGTTTGCTCTGTGACTGTAAGTTAGGGGGGCTTTGTCGAAAAGGAAAAAAAAAAGGCATTCTAAAAATGATTGTACTCGTCTTTTGTGCCTAACCTCTCTGCTATTCTCTCTGGTACCGTTTCAGATGGTGGCATTTCAAAACGGAGACCAGCTGCGACCAGCCAGGCGCCTCCGTGCGGCGAGCAGCGCCCCCCCTCTCCGCCGGGGCCGCCCCCTCCTGCGGGGGGCTCCCGGCAGCCCGGGTCAGAGGCCCGGGCCGGCCAGGACATCAGCCCCGCCGTGGCGGCCGCCCTGCTGCAGCTCATCTCTCAGCAAGAGCCGGGGGCCGGGGCCGGGGCCGGGGCCTCGGGGCCGGGCGGGGGCCCCTCCCCGGACGCCACGGCTCCAGGACGGCCTCCCGCACCCTGGGCCGCCGCCTCTCCTCCCAAACCCGCGGCCGAGGCGCCGGCGGCGCCGGCTGCTGCTGCTGCGGCCTCCACTCCAGCACAGTTCCCAAAGGACCAGGACCTCCGCTTTGCCCACGGAGCCGCCCGCTGACTGTCAGCCCACCGGTGAGGTAAACTTTGAAAACCACAGAGCAGCTCCAGCAATCCTGACCTGCAGGGAAAGGCAGCTGGAGAATGCAGACACACACATACACACACAGACACAGACACGCACACACGCACACACACACACACACAGGAAGTGACTTACTGGACCAGCAGCAGGTTAGACGAAACGCAGATATAGAAAAAATGAATGTCTAAACGGAAGAGATGTAGTTTTTGTTCTTCAGGGTTCTTCAGGCCGAGGGGTGGAGGCCTGACCCAGGGGTCATGCTTATGGTGGTGTCCTTTGCCATGCGGGCAGGTCTGACCCTCAGCAGTAGGACCAGGGGCCCGTGCCGCCTGTAAATCTTCTCTTTCCTCAACGCAGAACCCCGTGGACTTTGAATGAAATGTGGCTTTGGGACTGAGTGCTATGCAGTCAACGCTCGGTTGTCAAAAGTACCTGGGATCTCTCCTTTCTTTTCTTTTTTTTTTTTTGTTCTCTCCGCCCCCCGAATAAATGAATGATCATGTCCACTGTAACGAGACTACCGGTGTTTGGGGAATTGAAGTTTTCTGTTAACCTCTGCACGCTCTTTTCAGCCTTATGTGGTCAATGTGAACCCAGCGGCCCCCCCGAGTGACCCGGGCTCTGTGGGGACGTGTGGCTCAAGTTTCTGCTTTGGATGGCACTTGTATACCTTTGCAGACTCTCCCAAACCCCGCCCCCCGTCTTTCTTGTTTTTGTAATTGACACAAAGGCTGTTAAAGCTTTTGATACTCTGCTCTCAACACAGTGGAACTGTCTACATGCAACGGCCCTCCTGTGTCCTTACAGCCCTGTAGCTCTCATGTTCCAGTTTGTTTCTGTGGATTAAACGGCCACATTGCAGCAGAAGCTCCGTCATACACACGCTCTGCTAGTAGAAGTATAAAGCTATAAACACACACTCTGGCTTTTCCTGGTGGGACCTCAGATCTTCATCTAACTCGTCTGCCTCTCGCCGCCCTGACGACGTTTGCATCGAAAGCTGTTAACTTTCTCTTTTTTTTTTCTTTTTTTTTGGCGCAGTTATTTTCTACTTAAATAAAAATGATAACGCTTATAAAAACAGTAATGGTCAATCATTCTGTTATCTTTTTTTTTTTTCTTTGGAGAAAAGAACGGAAGGAAAATAGTTTCATGTGTCTGTTTAAGAAGGAAAAAAAAAAACGAGCATTTTGTAATGTCTTTTCTTGGTTGAGTTTATTAAAGGAACTTATGCGACCAGCTGAAGTGTTTCTCCTGCCATTTTCTGGATTTTTAATGTAAAGCAGCCACTAGATGGAAGGCTGCAGCTCAGTCCACAGAGAGTCCATACTGTCAGGTTTTGTCTGAGAACTGTAATATGGGCCGAGTAATACAATGGACTGCTAGTGTTTATTTATTAGATTATTGTTATATTACTACGGTGATCTGACATCTGCTAACAGGCCGTTTTGTTAAAGAAGAAACGTGTCAAGGCAATGCAGACACCGATCACACGACCCATTGAATGAACAGAAGATACTCAGAAATGAAACGAGATTAAACAGGAGCCTCTTAATTATTCATAAAGAATGTGGTTGTGGCCAACATTTTTGATGATCTGTAATAGTAACAGATGCAGCCGTGTTCCCACTATCAAGGCCGACAAAACCATTGCTGTCGCGCAGACAGCCAAAGCGGAACCTAAAGGTTTTTAAAGATTTAAACGACGAGCTTGCTTTGCAAGCAGCTGCGGACATAATTCATATTTTTCCATTAATTGCCAGGAATGGGGCCGAGTTTTATCCCAGCTGGACAGCAACATCTGCAGTGATTGATGCTTCCCGTGCATAAATCCCCCCCTTTTTTTTTCAATGTTGATTCTTTCGCCACTTGGGTTGATCTCTTTATGAAGAACCTGACAGGCAGACAAGGATCATAAACTGCGGGTTGGCAAAGACAGAAGCCTGCTAGGTCCCGGGCTTTGTGTGTGCACAGCACTTGTGAGTGTGTTAGTGTGTGTGTGTGTGTGCTGGATTGGCTTCACGCATACCCTGACCAGTTCCCTCATTTGGCAGGATTACAGAGCCGCTTACCCCTCTGGCCCAGCAAACAGCTGAGCCCTTTGGGTGAGAGATCCTTTCAGAGTGGAGGCGGTGGGAGGCTCACCTGCCCTCTAGCACGGGCTCAGTGTAAATGAGATGAGACGGAGCTGCGTGCATGCGCGCGCTCATGTCTGATGCCTCTGCCCACCGGGACTTCGAATAATAGCGAATGTGCCCGCGGGGAGTTTCCACTGGAGAAGTGGTGGGCACTGCCAGTGCCAAGTCACAGGGACCAGATGAATAAATCAAGACTGAGCAGTGATGAGAGGGAGGCGCACGAGGCTGTGCCATCAATCAGAATGGGCACCTTATGGGGGATGCCCGTAAATGTGCCACACTGCCAGTCTGAAGCACGCCGGCGCCATGGCGGAGAGGGCCGGCGGCATTCAAAAACCGAGCCTCCATTTTGGATGCCGGCGCTTAGCTGTTGGGTGACTTCCAAATAGTGAATTGACTGACAGTTTCAGTCAAATTGTGTCAATGAATTTATTTTTTTTCCGCCTCTGCCTTGTCGGGTTTTTTTCTGTCGTACAAATCTGAGTATAAGGGAATTCATTCTTAATCAGCTCTCAAGCGTGTGTGTGTGTGTTCTGGCTGATCTGGTGACCCCGGGTGTCACCTTTGTGTCCTTCAGTTTGTTAGCCCAGCCAGTTTAATCTCAAACCCCACTCAGATGGTGTCTTGTTGTTTTTTTGGGGTTTTTTTTTCTGGCTGTAAAGAAAAAACGCTGTCTTTAAAAATTCCCCATGCATCAGTTCCTCTTAACCTGTGCCGCACTTTAATTCAGCAGCAAAACCAGGATGAAGGGTGAGCAGAGAAAGGAGGCGAGGCGGTGGATGGACAAGCAAAGAGAGCAACCTCAGCATCCCTTTTGAGGTAATTTGATGAAGTATTTCAGTTTAAAAAGCGCTTGAGCATCATGGTACATGAGCCCTTTGGCCATGATGTAGAGATTCTGCTGAACAGATCTGTGGACTGATGCACCTCATACTTTCAGATTTTTTGTTTGTCTTACTTGCTAACAACCTTCTTTAAAAAAATATTTGAGTGTTTAAAGTAGGATTTTAATGGTGCCTAGCTCCTTAAAATTAGTTGTAAATCCCTTGAGAATATACTGTGAAGAGATGAGAGCAGCTATGAAGTATTGAATCTGTGTGTGTGTGTCTGTGTGTGTGTGTGTGTGACTGTTTCTTTGTGTTGTGCAAATACGAGCTGTTGTCGCCTCCTTGAACAATTCAGTGGTTTGATGACGGAGGCCGTTTGCTGTGTGCAAACTCAATGGGGCGAAACAAAGCCTCCCACAGTTAGCGCACATCAGGATTAACAAAAAAATAGCTCATATGAAACAAACTCAGGCCCCAAAACAGGTGAAAGTTGTACGCTAGAGGATTTCTTTACACCCTACTTTCTTTATATTGACGCCTTTTCACGATTACAACTGAAACTGCTTGAACGCGAATGATTTAAAGCAACTTTGGAAGTGAGCAAATAGTGCTGTCTGCATCAGATTTTTGTCTTCGTTCCAACAACATCTAATGTCAGCAATTTGGTTTATGGCTGCATCTTTATTTATGTGATTTTTCAAAAAATTGATTGACTTTCCCGGCAGTGATATATGCTTTACTGCTGCAGCGCCATGCTTTATAGATGCCATAACACCGTCTCCATTTCCTCTCAGTTTATAGTTTTCTGGGAAACTGCTGTCACACACACACTCTTTTTTTTATTCTTCTCTGCTTAACAGCAGTGAATCCCACTGAGAAGATTCTGTCTGGACAAAGCTAAGTCACTGAAGCCAGGCCGTGAAAGTGCAATAACCTGCAATCCCATCCTCCTCTTTGGTGTTGATTCCAGATCATTTTAAGTATTTGCATGTTATTTGCCTAATTTGTGTTGAATGATTTAAGAAAAAAAAAAACAACTCACATCAGGATGATGCTGACTCTTTAGAAACCTGCTCTGACCTCACTTCAGTTATGGTCCACCTTAGCCAAAGACACGACAGCCTCTCTGCATGATGCTGCACTTCTGCAAAGCAAAGTATTTTCTCAAGGTCTCCCCCATCTCATTAACAATTCATTTCAGAGAGCTCGATCAGCACAGCGCCATCATTGTCTCCCTCCGTTTGGTGCGTCGTCTCTGCTGCCGCTTTAAGGGCAGAGGGGCTGCTGGGAAAGCGGTAAGAGAGCGTGGAGGAAGAAGAGGAGGAGGAGGAGGAGGAGGAGGGTGGGATGTGAGTCGGGGGGCCGTGGCGGCGGTTGTGAAGCGTGGGGACGGGCCCTGCAGGACCATTTGTGCTGAAGCTCATTTGCGCAGCGACACTTAATTGGCTACAACAATTAATTAATGTGTTGGAAAGTTGGCACAAAAAGTTCATTTAAGAGGGTTTTAATAAGCAATTAGAGGAAAAGCAGCGAACAGGGGGAATTACTGGAGAGGAAAGAGAAAAATCCAGAGATGGAGTTGCAATGTCTGGCCACTCGCAGAGTGGACACACGGGGCAGTGGCCGGCCGCGGCCCCTTCCTCTCGTCCTCTGACCCATTAGGCCTACTGACCTCTGTCTGATGCCCTCACGCCTGCTTCTGAGTGGGCCCCAAACCTATGACGGCCTTACATTGTATAGGTACCAACCCGGTACCTATACAATTTCTCTGCCTCTTGTCCCTGTGCCCAGTGTAAAATATCGCATGACTAATGAGCGGAGCAGGTTGGAATCCTGGGGAAGATGTCCTTGGAAGACGAATGCATTTCCAGCAGAATAATTAACTTAATTAACAAATTCACATGCATATTCATCAGCCTATTAATGTCTGCTCCTCGCTGCTTGATGAGCAATGCAATAATAACCGTTCCATTTGCATATTTGTGTTCACACTCAGCCTTCTCCAAATAAT